GGGGGTGGGGGGAGAGGGGGGGAGGGAGAGTGGGTGGGGGATGAGGAGGAGGTACACAGTGCCACCCAGGAGGTGCTGAGAGCCACCTTGTCTAGGGGCCCAGCAATTCTGTCAGCCCCTCTGCACAAATATCCCTCTATTATATGCACATATCCATAAATATATTTAACTGATTAGCAGTGTTTAAAAAACACAATCTCAATTGACTCAAGTTTGTATTTTCTGCAAACAAAATCTGGAACGAAACACAGGCCAAAATCTTCAGTCACTCGTAATCATTTTTCACCAGAAGTTTAAAAAAAAAAAAAAAAAAAAAAAGCAGTCTAGTAAATTACAGCAGTTGATTATGTTGGAGTTTTCACCTAATTATTTCACCAAAACAAGTATGTGCAAAATATGCCACAGAAAATGGTAAGATTTAGATTAGATATAAATGTAAGTGAAAAATTGAGTGCATCAGTTTAAGTTTGCAGTTTAAGTCTGAGTGCAAGTTGCAGTGAGCCAAAAATTTCTGCGAGCTCAAAAACAAAAATGAACAAACAAACAAAAAAATCAGCCTCTCTTGCTTTCCTTTATTAGCATTATTAGAAGGACCCAAAAAGGGCAAAGATCAAGATCAAAGAAGAAAGAGGAGATAAATACGGTAAATGGGTAACTGAAAAGAGCAGAGAAGCAAAAGAAAAGACCTACAAAGAAAAAGACGAGTGGGTATAGGTATAAAATAGAGCATTTTCTTTTAATTTTAGCATGTAGCAGGAAGCTTACCATTTGCCCCACCTTGAACTTTTGCCCATTTCTAGAGCTAATCTGCAAGTACAGAACATTAGAGAAGGACTGGAAAACTCATGAACCAGCCCATTTTCAAGAGACTTTCAATCTTATCTTCCACGCTTCAGAGGTTAAGATAAGAAACTTGAATGCGATACACTTAATCAAACTGAACTCAGACTCCACTGGTTTACCAGGGTGCTTCTTACACCTCAAAGCGAAGAAGATGTAAATTCCAGAAAAAGGAGACAGAGGTATGCTAGCTCTGATCTATTTTTAGCACTGTTGCTTGAAGTATAGCCCCAGCAGCATAACTATCCAGAGGGGCTAGTTGTCCTGCTATGCAACTAGTGTCTTGGATGGACTCTTATTTGGAAAGGCTGTCCTCGCTAAGGACGTTAAGGACTAGTCTGCTATCCGATAAGCAAACGCTTATCAGATATCAGAGGGGTAGCCGTGTTAGTCTGAATCTGCAAGAGCGGCAAGGAGTCCCGTGGCATCTTATAGATTAACTGAAGTGTTGGAGCCTCAGCTTTCATGGGGAAAGACCCACATGCATCTGACGAAGTGGGTCTTTGCCCACGAAAGCTTATGCTCCAACACTTCGGTTAATCTATAAGGTGCCACAGGACTCCTCGCCACTTTTGCTTATCAGATAGTCAGTTGACTAGTCGATTCCTCCCGCCTACTGCCTCCATCAGCGGATGGGAGGGGAAGAAGGGGAACTTCAAAATGGCAGCACCACACAGCTGAGCCCAGGATCAGCTGTGCAGCACTGCCACTTTAAAACCCCAAAGCAGTGTTTCAAAGGGACAACTGCCGAACAGCTGATCCTCAGCTCAGCTGTGCAGCACTGCCCCTTTAAAACGCCGCCTCAGCATTTCAAAGGGGCAGCGCTGTGGAGCCTGGGGACTCCTGTGCATTTCAAAGCTGTGCATTTCAAAGCAGGTGCACAGCCTGGAGTCGGCGGGACTTCCTGCTGGCCCTGGGCTGCACGTGGAATTACACATTCCTCCTTTGAAATGTACAAGAGCCCCAGCAGCAGCTCTTGTACATTTCAAAGGAGGAATGCGGAAGCGCCTATCTACTACTTGAGTTTCCATCGACTTGCAATTTAACATCTTTAGTCCCCACCCACCTCTGACACCATGACTACACTTCTGTTTTTAGTGTGCTAGCTTAGTTGGAGTTGGTGTGGGTTTCCTTGAGCTTCAAATTGCACTTTGAGCTTACACTGTAGACATGCCCCCAGGGAGCAGCTGGAAGCAGGTACACTCTTTAAAAACATGGGTTAACTTTTCTAATTTTAAAAGATTTAAGTTTGACAGAGCACTCTTTAAACAGCAAACCCTGATTTGTTTTGTTTAAATTTCATTATTTATTATTTATATTACTGGGCTAATAAAATAAGGGACTTTTTCATTAGAGAGAGTGATGCAGGTTGAACCTCTCTTGTAGAGCAACGTTCATGGTCTGGCATGATTTTAGTTGCCAGGATGTCCACTTATGCATGTGACCAACTTTACCGCAGCCCCTTAAAGGTTTGTTAACAGCAAGCAGTCCTGGCTCTCAGTGTGCAGTGTGGTTAGATAGTGCTAATGTTCTCCTAAATGTCTAAGAGCCCAGTGTGCAGTGGAAATGCTGGTAATGCTGCCAAACAATATTGGCCTCCTGTGGGTCAGCAAATTCTCTGGTTTGGCTCCAGTCAGGTCCCAAGGGTGCCAGACTAGAGATCTTCAACCTGTACTTGGACTAGTTAATCTCTGTGCCTCAGTTCTCCATCTGTAAAACAGGAATAAAACCTCTCCTTCTCTCACCTTTTGTCCCTCTTCTCTAGGTAGACAGATACTGCCCAGAAAGAATACTATGTATACATACAGCATCTAACACATTGAGGTTCTGATGTCAGCTGGGGCTTCTAGGTGCTACTACAATGCTAACACCACCACGTAGAAACAGACCGTTATGTATGTATGACCCTGGAGGAAAGATCAGTTCCAAGGTTTTGGTCATGCTTTGTCTATATGCAGGAGTCTGGGAGCTCCATGAAGCACAGAAGGGACTTCTCAACTCTTCCATCCACCCTTCAATGCCCCAGGATTCCTGTTGCCCTCAAACTCTAGGGACGAATCCCAAAAAAGAGAGATTCTTCCAAATTCCAATTGAGGAGCATTGTCTTCCCTAGTGAGTTAACATGAGGTATAGTTCAAGTGTTCTCTGTTACTTGATCCCCATACATGCATACAAGCTCACCAGGAATGCTCACTAGCTGTAAGAAGATTAATAGGTTGGCATGACTACACGCGTAGGACAGACCAAGAGCAAGCTTCTCATGGGAGCTACTAACTTAATCCGCATGGATGCAGGCTAGCATACTAAAACAACAGTTACAAGCTGTTACTCCTCCAATACCTTCTCACAGCCACTAGGATCCACTGCTTCTCTCCTTTTCTTGCCATCTCCATTCTTTCTGGCATCCTGACAAGAACATCCGCAAAGAAGACATGACCCCAAAACTTGTTGCCAGCTCGCTAGAGGCAGACATCAAGGTACTGAACAATTTCTGGTGCAAAGCTACCAGAGCCCACAAATTTAGGAGCAAGATGAGAAGTGGTAAGGTCTACAATGAGACTTCCAAGAAGCTCCCTGAGTTGAGAATCTAACATATGAGACCACAACACTAGAAAAATACCAAAGTGGTTGAAAGTGCTCTAGTAAAAGGCCACAAGATCATATCCCCGGCTAGTAATTTCCTGATAACGCACCCATATTAGTAAGAGGTGAACTGCACTATTACCAGCGCTCCAAGCATAGACCCCAGTTTCACTCCGAAGGGTTAATGGGTTTCTACCACAGTAGAGGATCAAGTGGAAGAATCTGATCTGGGGCACGTATACAAGTTCTCAGTCATCCCCACAGCAGTGCTTGAGCAGGAAGTACAAATGAGGATCAACTAATTGTGAAACTCAGCTCCTCTGCTGGCTCTGACTGCAATCGATCTATGCCCTGCAAATCCAGGGTTGTGGAGGCAGATATCTGCGGCTCATTTCTGCAGATACAAATGCGGATGCAGATACTAATTTTGAATTCACACAGAACTCTGCTTATTTACACCAACTGAGGATTTGGTCCAACGTACATAAACTGAAATAAAACAAATTTATTTCCTTTATATCTTTTCTCTTCAGTCACAATCAGGGGGTCCCTGTCACAATCACAGAAAAAATAAATGCAAGACAGAAATGCAAATTTCAAGTTGATGGTGTCCCCTTAAAGTCATCCCCTATGCAACACCACAGACTCCAGGAGCGTTACACTCCAGACTTCTGAGCCCTGTAATTTAGTTACACATTTCTTTCTACATATGCACATAAAACGGCCAGAAA